GTATATGCATATCCTTAACCTATGCTTGTCTTCTGCCCATTTTCTCATTAGTCTGTTTTTATAATGTTGTTTATACAGTCCAGATACATCTGGTTACTATTTTTAATCAACTGTTATAACGTTTAATTCAAGGAGGAAAATGTTATGACGTGTCTATCTCATGAAACCATATTAACCCTCCTCCCTCTCTCGAAGAACTATCTCTATCAATTCCAATCCAGCCCTCTTTACAGGAAAGATTCCAACCCTGGGCAGAGTATTTTATTTACATTACTCTGCACTACTCAAGACATGGTGCTGCACTTTGTCCTTCCTCTAGGGTTTCTGAGTCACAAAAGCAATTTCAATGTTGATGTGGGAGTTTTACTGTTTTGTTTTCCCACTTTCCACTTTCACTAGATCAATTTTCTCTGCTTCCTCATAACTTTAATTTCCCCTTTTGTGGCCAACGTACTCACCATTATCTTGAGTTTTGTTCCTCATATAAAGTGATACTGCTTCTGTGCCCAACTTCCAATTTTCTGAGAGGAGTCCAGAGCTTTCCCAGTATTGAGTTCAGCTGTGTCTAGTCCAGCTGTAGCCTAGAATTATGAGGGCAGGTGATATGAGGACCTCCTGGGAAAGCGGCCTGTGCAGCTTCCCTGAGAAGTGGTGTGAGGTAGAAATGATCACCATCTATCTGTATTATAGGATAGGAATGGAAGGCCATCTCTAATGGTAAGCCCAAGCAGCTCTAAAGCTTGTATTCTGTGGCCAGGCCAATCACTTCCCCAACACGATTCCTGAACAATCAAAAACCTTTCTGCAAGATACACAATCTAAGAGAAAAATAGAGGGAAAGTAGAGATGTAGAAAAAAAAAAGGTACATATCCCTTTTAACAAATCAGTATTATTATTAGCCACTTCATAAAAACACTGTTGAATCCTTGGGTGACATGATCCAGTGACAGTTAAATGCCATAAAGGACAAAAGAAAAAAGTGCCATTAAGTGACCAAAATAAAAAACCCCACCCAGCACAACGGCACAAACCCTCTGGACAAGGTACACATTTGCATTAACAGGGTTTTTTTATTGGTGGCCTAGTATTAAGAAGCTGCGCTGCAATCCTGAAGGCAGGATAGTTCAAATCCACCAGCTGTTCCGCAGCAGTTTGGACAATCTTCTCCTGTGCCATTAATTGCCTCTGAAAATCTGCCAGGTCAGCTATGGGTAGGTTCTGACTTGATGGTATTCGACAACAGGGTTAAATAAACTGCAGAGCTAAAGAGCACCTGCTTTAGACATTGTTGTACTTGACCTACTAACATTTTGGGATTTTGCATCTGTTCATAATTCAGAGTGGTTTATAGTTTTCTTTATCATAGAGAACACAAGTGCAGATACTGAAAACTGAAGTTCCAGGAAAAAATTTACAAAGTAAATGTGGCAAAATGTCAGCTAAAAAGTCAATTTTGATGATGGGGATAATATGGATGTGTTTTTTGCTGTGTGTGTTAGGTTCAAACATTTTCCAAAGAAAACCTTGTCAGGGGAGGGAGTGTGGAGAAATGGTAATCTTCTAATTGTTGAAAAACAAAGACAACCAAGCTCAAAACTTTCAACCATTATCACTACTGACTCATGGCAACTATCCACTGGGTTGCTGAGGGTGTAGATCATTCAACTGCCCCAGAGTTGCTAGAGGACTCCAACTGTCAGCTTGGCCTCTGCAGTAGCCCCGCAGATTGCTAAGGACAATGCTACCAGAGCTTCTTAGAAAACCACCAGTCATCTAGCAAGATCCATTCTAGCAGAATGGGTCTCATCCTTTTGCCTAATAGGATCATCTGGTATCTGTTCCATGTTGGTGACAATGGTTCACCCACCACAGGATGTTGCTCACATTGTCATGGTAGCCAGAGTTGTCACACATAAATGCAACCTTCACTCAGTCTGGAATAACTAGATGCCCTTTTCATCAATGTAAAGCTGTAACTTGCTCATAGAGGTCATTGCTTTCACACATTAAAGCATCCTTCAGTGATACATAAGCTTCTCTCTCATGCTGCCATTGTGTCAGAACTCATTCACAGCAGACTGTCAAGCAGGCTGGTGAGGGCTATAAATGACACGAGAAGAGACTGTCCTTGGACCTGACATATAGGTTTTTTTAAAATTTTTATTGTATTATTTTTATGTGTACCATCAAATCAGATTGCCCCCTCCTTCTCCAGCAGAGCATCTGGTGGATTTGAACCTCATACCTCTGAAATTGCAGTGCAGCATCTTGCCACTAGGCCACCAGAGCTTCCTGACATATAGGTTTCTAAGGCTATGAATTGCACAGGAGATTGCCTATCTTCTTCTCTGGAGCCACTGAGGGGTTCAAACTGCCAGAAAGGCACCACCTTTGGGTTATCAGTGCAACCCCCTATGAACTACACCATTGTTATGTGCCATAGAGGCTGAACCAACTCATAGCTGACCCTCCGGTGGGTTTTCAGAGGCAGTTTGTTTAATAGCATGGGGGAGATCGCCCATCCTTCTGTGGAGCAGCTGTTGGCCTCGATCCGTGGGCCACTGGGATTGCAGCACAACTTCTTGCCACTTTATGCCATTAGCGCTCCCTATAATAAACACAGAAAAGGCAGTAATACTGATATAATGATGGTTATTTCCACTTACATTTTCCTACCACTAAGTCCCAATTATCTGAAAAAAGCATTTGAAAAAGGAGGTTAAATCTTATGTTTTTATGTTAAACCTAATCAATACATAGGGTCGCTATGAGTTGCAAGTGACTCGACGGCTCATAACAACAATCAATACAAAAAATTTACTTTGAAATAGTTTTACAAAACCCTTTACAAATTCTTAGTATTATCTACGTCCTCTGATTTGTACAATACACAAAGATGTTGTTGTTGTGTATTGTACAGTCAGACCTGACACATAGCTGACCATCCAGCGGGTTTTCAGAGGCAGTTAATCACATGGGAAGAGACTGCCCATCCTCCCGTGGAGCAGCTGGTAGCCTCAAACCACATGCCCTCAGGATTGCAGTATAGCTTCTTGCCAGTAGGTCACCAGAGCTTCCTTAAGGAGGTTGTTTTTGTTCATGGCCTTAGAGTCAAGCACGACTCATAAGGACCTTATGAACAAAAGACTTGAAAACCCCTCTACAACTATCGACATTTATCACAGAGTTTCTAGAGGTATGTTATTTGGAAGTAGATGCTTCCAACCGGGTGCTATAGCCTCTTCCAAATCTAGCCTGAATTTCTAATAGTTTAATATCAATGTATTGTTCTAGCAATTTTTAAAATAATCTTCAGCAAGATTTTGCTTGTGTGTGATCTTAATGATAATAAATCTGGGTTGCAGCTATCCTACCAAGGAGTTGCAACCTTTTACGCAAAAGTCTCTTTTTAACAAACAATGAGTTGTGTTGTTAGAGGATCCTCAAGGATAGTACTGCAAAATATGTAGTATAACCACTCCAAGAAAATAAAGAACATGTTCAAACCTCTCAAGTCTGACTCTAATCTGTGCTCGAGGGCACTAGTTATTAAATATCAGAAATGTTGTAGTCTCTACCCTTACAGGAGCAGTACTATCTTCCATTTTCTGTACATCTAAACTTCCAACATCTTTTGTTCCTTTCAACTACACTCAATTTCAAGCCTTCACATTTTAGGTTACTTTTTCCCTCCTAGTACTTTTCTCTTATGAGACTGCGTTTTTATTAGTTTTTGCTGAACAGGCTCCAGCAGGTCAGTAATGATGAGGATGGCATAGGACAGGACAGGGTTCAGACCTATTGTTCACAGGGGAACTGCGTTGTACTCGACTCAACAGCACCTAACAACAAGTCTACTAACAAGTTTCCCAAAGTAAACATTTGTGTAAAGATTTGAAAGAAAAATTTATAAAGTATTCAGAACAAACAGACATCATTACTCTTCAATAATTTGGAGAGGTCCCTAAATGCATATTTTCCCAGCGCAATGTGTCTTTTTTCCTAACTGCTGGTATTAAGGGTTTCAACCTAAATAAGACCCTCGATTTCAAGCTGTCAGATTTTAGTTTACCCCCTTTCCCACATTTCTTGAAATTGCATTTTTATTAGTCTCCACAAACGTATGACATAATTAATCAAACCATTTATATTCAAAATTTTTAGTAAACACTCTCCATAGCTCTTTCACTCTTTCATCAAGTCATGTTCAGAAAAAGTAATGTTGATGCTGATAACCAGCATTTCCTACCAGGAGCACATTATGCTTTGGGATGACTGAAGTAACCATCAAAGCTTAGGGCCAATTCTCTACTGTGTGCTTACTGCAGAGTGTGAGGAGGGTAATGCTAAGCGGTGGAGATTATAGTAGTAAATATAAAATGAATTTCCTACAAACATTTCAAGCAGGGAAACACAATGTTAAGACAAGCCAATTATTTAAATAGTAAAGTTTTATTAAAAAAAACCCAGGCTATACAAATAGACAACTGGAAACTAAGTTGGGAAACAATTCCCAAAACAAGTCAAATCTCACCTACAAAATTATTTATGTGTTTAGAACCCACAATAAAAGCATGGCCTTGAGGCCCAGAGAAGTCTATGGTAACACATCAAGACTCCTGGGGCGCTTTTAAGGAATGAAATACACCAAAGAAGGAAGTCCCTAGAAGTTACTTTAATGTATAGAGGTTTTAAGACTTTTTTTTTTTTAAGGATTTCAAAAGTAAGAAATAAAATAAAAACATCTTACATTGGGACATGTCAGTGACCATAACTGCTGTTTCTGACTGGCCTGCCATTTAGGGACAGAGTAATCTGCAGAGAGGTTAGATTTTATACATACCTTGTCATCCACACAAACATAATTACTGAAATCTTATCAAGACAATTACCTTTAAATTTTTTTAAAAATATACAACTTTTAAAAAAATGGTTTTTTTCAGAGTCACCACAGATGAGTTTTGAAAAAAATCCTTTTCCCAAGGTCCCTTCCTTTCCTTTACTCCTGCTTAAATGCAAAAGCTGACAGTTTCTGATTTGTAGAAGTATCTAAAGGTTTTCGCTTTTTAGGTAAATTCAGATCCTCTTGCGCTTTTTCTTGCTGGCTTTCTGTTTCATTATTTTCATCAACTAGATGTTTTCGTTTTTTGGCTTCCAATCCATCACTGACAGCGTCTCCTTTTGCCTTGTTAGTCCATGCCTAGTGAAAACATTGGGGGGAAGAGAAAGAATTTTTAGGCAATAAAAGAAGAAAGGAAAGACCATCTTTTTCAATTAACAGTCCTCATTGTTAACAAATCTTTTATTATTTAATTGCAGAACATATTAAAAAATTTATTCTAGCTCAGCATTTCGATCTAAACTCTGATTATACTTAACTAAGTTTAAATCCTATAACTGCATATATTTTTTAAAAGAAACTTTTAACATAATTGCAAATTTATATATTATTATAATTAGGTGCTGTAGAGATGAGTACAACTCAGCAATCCTATGAGTAACAGATCTGAACCCTGTCCTATCCTGTGCCAATCTCACAACCTGACACACGTGAGCCCACTGCTGCAGTCACTATGTCAATCCATCTGGTAGAGAGTCTTTCTCTCCTTTGTTGTTCGTCTCTCTTTCCAAGCATGATGTCCTTCACCAAGGAATAAATAGTCTCTCCTAGCGCCATGCCCAAAGTATGTGAGACAAATCTTTACCATCCTTGCCTCCAAGCAGTTATCTGGTTTAACCCGCTTCAAGATTCACATACATAGTTGTAAGAAATACAGAAGCATTCCATGTACTCTTTAACTAATTCATTTCAGTGGTAACACCTTGCAAAACCACAAAAAATATCACAATCAGGACACGGATATCACTATATTTGCTAGCTTTTCTTCAGTTTCCAAGTTTCAGTATTACTCTTTTGTCTGTGTTTATGTTTAGTTCTACTATATGCTTGTATATTTACTGCCATAGTCAAATAAAAGATTATCACAAGGATCCCTCATGGTATTCTTTTAATTTTTTAAAAAATTCTATTGTTTTTTTCAAACAACAAATGCTGACGAGGTTGTGGAGAAACTGGAACTCTTATTCACTATTGGTGGGAGTGTAAAATGGTGCTACCCCTGTGGAAGGCGATATGGTGCTTTCACAAAAAGTTGCAAATAGAGATATCATTTGACCCAGCAATTCCACTACTGGGAATATATCCCAAAGAGACCATAACTTCCCTCCAAGCAGATATATGCACACCCAAGTTTATCGCAGCTTTGTTCACAATAGCAAGGAGTTGGAAACAACCTAAGTGCCCATCAACAAACAAATGGATAGAGAAGCTGCGGTATATTCATACAATGGAATACTACGCTGCATTGAAAAACAAGGAACTCATGCAGTATTATTCAAAATGGGTGACCCTGGAGGGCATTGTGCTGAGTGAAATATTTCAGTCACAAAAGGACAAATACTGCATGGTGCCACTGTTGTAGAATGGGACTGGTATCAAGGTTTGGGTATAACTGAGAAAAACTGGATAAATTATGTATACTGCATTGAAACAGATGAGGGAAAGAATAATTTAAAAGTGATATATGATAGGGTATTATAGTTATCAGAAGAGTCCAGAATTAAGAGTGCACAGTGGAGTGCACCTGGGGCAGTGGGAGGGGTGCGGGGGGATTGTATACCAAAGAAAGAATTTTTCTTCTACTTTTCAAAGAGAAGAGTAAACTGGGGGTGGGGGATGGCTGGGCAGGGAGAAAAGTGCAACAATGAATGAATGGAAATCCAAAATCTCTGTAAATGTTCATTAAAATGAAAAATAAACAACTTAAGTTTTAAAAAAGTTCTTTTTTATTTGTGTGTGTGTGTGTGTGTGTGTGTGTGTATACCGTCAAATCAGATCTGACTGGCACAGGAGGAGACTATCCCTCCTTCTCCAGCAGAGCATCTGGTGGATTCAAATTGCACACCTCTGGGATTGCAGTGCAGCTTCTTGTCACTATGCCACCAGACCTCCCCATGCTATTCTTTTAAAACTATTGCCTACTCAAGCTGCAACTCCACTACTAATTTGTTTTCCATCTCTATCATTTTGGCATTTTATAAGTATTATATAAATGTATAACTACTATAAATACTCTCTTGGAGATTGACTAGCTTTTATTCATTCAGCCTGAACCAAACAAGGTCCATTCATTTCACTGGCTTCTCCACGCTCCTTTAATATCTATATATTTCTTCTCTTTCTTTATTGCCACTGCCATTAATTTAATGAAGAAAATAATTCTTCCCCCTCCACAGTAAAATTTCTCCATTAACAATGTGTATCTGTATCTATATAAATGTTTAAGGCTAACTTTGATTACTAAATTGTTAAGTATTAAAAAACATAATTTTAGCTCAGTCTCTTCCCTTTTTATAGCATAAAGCCTTATTCATTCAGGTACCATTTTACTTAATTACTTAAGATTTTGATCCTTTTATACATACTTATGAGAAATAAAAAATATAAGTGGGGCCAGAGTTGATTTAGGCCAATTTTAGCTTCCTCATAATCAGCAGTTATCTGTACTAATGTAATTTTGTCTTTCTTGCAGGTACTTATACTTTGTAGCTGTATTTTGTCCCATGTTAAAGACCTACTGAAGACTTAACTAAGTTAAGAATGCTTGGCACTATTTCAAAGTTACTGGAGAACATTCAATGCCCTCTGTGGAGACATCTGGGTGTATGAACTTACAGGAAGAGATAAAAGTACTGGTTTCTAACTGATAGAGTGATAACAAGCACAGAACAAGACACTTAACAAAGGTTTTAAATACGGGTCACCTGCAAACTACTGGCTGTGGCCCCAAAGTCTTTGTTTCTCGTTTCCTATAAACTGAACATTTGATAGGCGGGAGGCTGAGAATTCCCAAACAACAGCCTATGTTGCTGCTGCATCAGAGAGTCTAATAAAAAGTCTCTTTCTCGAAACCTGGGGTGTCCACTTTTAGATTCAGTTGCTCTGGGTTGGAGGTGGGAGAATCAAACTTGTTTCAAGGTAACATTCATTGGGTAATAATTTTATTCATAAAATTCAGTTTATCAGTGCACATATCTATGTTACTAGATGTTCATACACAGCATACCACATTCCCAGGAGGACAGTCTGAGGATTTAGAAGCACACAGGTTACATCTCCCTACAACAGACGACTTCTTGTAGTCTTCCTTTACATGGCAGAAATTCACATGAGGAGCAAGAAGTATAAAGCTGTTCTAATTTTCACTATACATACTTGGAGGCAAGGATTCTGAGGCTCCGTCTAACATACGTTGGACATGTTGTGAGGAGAGACCGGTCCTTGGAGAGGGACATCATGCTTGGGAGGGTGGAGGGACGGCACAGGAGAGGAAGGCCCTCTATGAGGAGGATTGATTCAGTGACTGGGATAATTGGGATAGGAGTGTCAGAGACAGTGCTATTGGCACAGGAAAGAGCGGAGTTTAGGGCTGTTGTACACAGGGTCGCTATGAGTCGCAAGTGACTCGACAGCACATAACAGCAACAACAATTTCCACTGAAAAGCTAGAACAGAATACCAAGGGTTCCGCCCTCAAAGAAGTATCCTCATTTAATATTCAGTGTGTAAGTAGGCAGCATTTTTAGAAATTTTGTTTGGAAGAACTCTAACATAGAATTCTAAAAGCGTCTGTTAATTGTGGAGGTTATTCCCCTACTTTACAGGAATGTAAAGTTTATAAATGCCAGAAAATTAACTATTTCCAAGAAATAATAATTACCACAGATCTACATGCTCAAAGCTAAGATGTCAGTGATTTAACTTGCCCTCGATGAAAAGTTTATAGGATGTATTCCATTTCCAATAAGAAAGTTTAAAACCCAAGAATTCAGTAAGATCTCAGCAAAATTATTCTTACCTTCCTTTCTTCAGCAGATAATACTCTAAATCGAAGCATTCCTTCTTTTATTATGTCTGCTTCTTCTGAAAAGTCAGGATTGTCAGATAAAATATTATTCCTATTTTCTTCCAGCCACATCTGGAACCCAGTCCTTGGCCTAAACAAGTAGTCATATAGAAAAAAAATTATACTTATGACATAATTTATCATTGATTTTTAGTAATTAACTGCTAATTTTAAAAAACCATACACCTTTGCTCATCACAGCATTTATAATAGCAAAAAAACAGAAATAACTCAAATGGCCATCAGCAAATGAATGGCTCGAGAAAGGAGTACATTCATACAATGGAATGCCATGCAGCACTAGAAAAATGAAGAATTTGTGGAATACTACATGTCTAAAAGACATTATGTTGTGTGAAATAACAGTTACAAAAGGACTGTGTAAGATCACTACCATGAAAAAAGGACAGTAACCAGAGGGTGAGGAGAATGGAGAAAGCAGGAATAGAATGTACAGCAAACACCCTAATGGGTCAGAACAAGGGAGGATCAACCTGGGAAGAATTGATGAAAGGACAACTTGACCACTGTAATTAGCAAATTAGAACAGAACAGGTATAATTATTCAAAAGAGGAGGGCAAAAGGAAGAAAAGGGGAAACCAGGAGGGTAGCAGAGATTAGTGGACAAATGGGGAGGTGAAGGAAAAAACAAAGTTCAATGGAGACTTGATGAGATGGAGTGACAGTTACCTTTCAATATGACTTCTCTAGCCCTTATCTGATACTCTATACAGATGGGTCTGCCTATGTGAATGGGACGTTTTGGCCTATCCATAAGAGGACTAGCTATCTACGATACCACAAGGAGATGGACCAGTCTGAACAAACCACAAGGGTATCGGCTAGTCTCACCAATAAATTGAAGAACTCTAGCTGTAGAGACAGGAATTATTCCCCCACCAGAAGAGATGGAATTCTGTATCAAGCCAGAGAAGCGAGACCTTCCTCAACCTGGTGAAATATAGGACATGCTTAAGGTTAGCAGCGATGGCTGAATTGGAGAACTGATGTGAGATAGGACTTTTGGAGGGGGAGTAGCCAATATTGGCAGGAATGAGAACTTTGTTGGACAATTGCAGAGGAAGCCAATATTGGCAGGATTGAAAACTGCATCAGACAGTGGGGGTGGGGTAGTAGCCAATATTGACAGGACTGAGAATTTGGAAACAGAGCCATGAAGTTCGAGGTTGAGGTGCCCGTGTGCACATTTTGGGAGCTGTTTGACTGTATTTTGTTATTAATTTGAATTAAACTCTTTAACTTTCCCATGTGTGTGGTCTGTGAGCTATCACAATTTACTCTGGGCCCCGCCAAGCAGTAAAACTGGTGCTGAGATGAGTAGAAGCAAGCATGGGGGTGTGGGGTACATGTCTAACTTCATGGGATTTGGTTTTGTGCTACTGGTGCTGTGGGAGGGAAGAGTTGGTTTCCCCTTTGTGAAGTTGGTAAAGGCTAGATATGGCGTGCTCTACATGGCCCTTGCACTTTTTACAAGTGATACCAGGAACTGATTAATAGTAAATAATTATACTTAAAGCATAATGTATATGGATGATTGTCTAAAAATCAATAAAAACACTTTGGATACCTACATAAAGTATAGGAAACACAACTTACACTTGCCAATATTCATAAGATATCTAGTCTTCATTTACTGACATGGCTTGATTCTAAAGATGAGGTCATTAAATGAAAATCAGTGTTATTCGAAAATGAAAAGATGACAGATCAGAAAATGGAGGTTGAATATAGCATTACATAATTACTAAATTGCACTGCTACATAACTGTCAAACCTCCAAGACTCATGGTCCAGAAAAACTGACACACAACTTTACAGCTGATATAACTCCTGCTTTGCACCTCATGGATAAATTTCTCACTAAAGTCATGAATGCAAAATGTTAGCTAATGAGATAGCTACTTGGTAGATGTTCTTAACAATGTCTGGAAATTACAGAATTAATGAATTCAAAAGTCTTTTCTAAATAAACTAAAAAGGAGTACCCACGCTAGTATTTTCCAAGTATAGAAAACATACGCAATGTACTTTCAACTCCTTACTAAATGCTGACAGGTCAATGGTCTGTAATCTCAACTGACCCCTTTGGCTCAATAAAATTCTTCCACATCTCCTCAAACTTCATGCCCATTACTTCATCTCTTACATATAAACCAATATGGTAGGTCTTTTCCTGCATCATCATTAGGCAAAGCAAACATATAGCACACTTGTGTATTTTATTCACTTCCAATTCTTAAAGATTGTCTTTAAATTTCAAGTAAAGAATTTTAAGTAAATATTTAGCATTTATTGTATACTTATTATTTGCAAAGTATTGTTCTAAACTCTTCATGTATATTCTTATCTAATATGCAACAACCTTATGAGATAGGTACAATTAGTACCTCTGTGACATAGATGAGAAAACTGAGGCTCAAAGAGATTACACAGATAATTAGCTCTCCCAAAAAGTCATCCAAAATAACTAGCCTATGCGTGCACGTGCACGCACACACACAGACTGATAATACTAAATGAAAACAAAATCACATTGCATCTTTAATATAAATCTCAAGTATATGCAAACTCAGTCAAATGACCCTTTATTACATTTCCCAAGGCTGTAAATTTTAACAAAAGACTGTTCACTTTTCTGCCTTGGAGCAGCTGGTGGATTCAAATTGCTCACCTTTCAGTCAAAATCATATAATGCTACCATACTATGTTACCAGAGCTCCCCCCACTCAATATAAAATTACAAATTCAAACACACACACACCCCCCAGAAAGAAAACATTATTTCTGTGAATAAGTAATTTTATCTTTATAATTTTAAGTATTTTCCATAACAAACTTTACCAAATCTCTTAGAAAAATAAGTTATTAAAAACCACCAACAGTATGGTTATAACTACTAACCTAATTTCTAAAATGACAAAAATTTCACATGATCTTAATGTAATCTTATGTACACCAAAAGAACAGAACAAAGGAAAAGTAATGCTGAGCAAAGGGTTCTTGAGTATTCAAATTAATAAATACACATATTAATCTTGTGGCTTTGTTATACCTCTTGCTAATAAATGGCATGAAACATCCCTGGAATGTACCTAAGCAGCTTTATTTTTGAGAAGAAAGAAAAAACTCCCACCATTTCTCTTTTTATTTAGTATATAATTTGTGCAAAACAATTTTAGTTCAGTAATAACTCCTTAGGGAGCTCTGGTGGCCTAGTGGCAAGAAGCTAAACTGCAATCCCAAAGGTACGCAGTTCAGGTTCACCAGCTGCTGCATGGGAGAAGGATGGGAAAAATCTCCTCCCGTACGATTAGCTGCCTCTGAAAACCCAATGGAGGGAGGGTCAGCTCTGGGTTGGTTCTGACTCTACGGTACACAACAACTGTAATAATTCTGAAAACTAAGTTTTTATACTTGACAGTATAAGAAGATGAATTATGAGTCTTCTTAAATATAAATGTCACTTCTGACATCTAAATAGAATTCAGAAAAAACAAACGTGAAAAATAAAAAATCACAGTGATTCATTCAAATTCAATTGCTCAACATCAAGTTACTAGTAAAACGAGGTAACGCACAGAGCTAAAAATGAAATGACTAAATTTCTCCATGTACTGACCTTGGGCTTTCTGTGTTTTGAGGAGAAGCAACTGGGGTTTCAGATGATGAAATTTTAGGAGTTTCTTCTTTTACATCATCAACCTTACCAGCTTGGGAATTTCTTTTTTGGAAATAAGATGCTGCAGATGCCTATGAAAACAAATATGAATATTGCAGTAAGACCTGGACAGTAAGTTACAAGCAGGTTTTGTAAAACATGGATAGTTACATTTAAAATTATTATATTAATATATGTAAGTCTTGAGGTTCTCAGTTACACAATACATCTATTTCACAGATAACAAATCTGAGATGATATAATAAAGGAGGTAAAATCAGAATATAGAACAAGGAAAGATTAGGGTGACTTGTTAAACAAGAATATGCATCAGACAAAATTTGAAAGAAATGTTTGTTAAATGTTTTATTTTAGGTGAAAGTTTACACAGCATACTAGGTTTCCTGTTAACAATTTTCATTCAGATTGTCCATGCCATTGGTTTTAATTTTTATAACGTGTCAGCATTCTCATTATTTCCATTGCTCTAGCTTCCCATTCCCTTGTTGCCTTCTGATAACTGCCTCTAGGTAAATGTTGAACACTCTGGTCTCATACAGCTAATTGTTTACTGATGGGTGATACTGTTTATTTCACAAGGAAGTCTATTATTTGTCTGACAGACGACCAATAAGGGTGTGTCTTTAAAAAAGGGACTTGATTCTGGAGCAAAGTCAGAACTGAGAACCACTGCCCTACTAGTTAACGATGCACCTCCTGTCCTAGGTCGGGACACAGTGAACAAACAGAAAGACAAACAGATCGTGTTATTTACTGCACCTGTGAGTAGCAGAAAAGAATACCTGCTTAGACTTCGGCTTTGGAATTAGAGGTTTTATAACTGGAGACTTTTCATTGTTTGCAGATCTATTAAGTACAATGGATTTCTTGGATGATTTGTTGATATTGTCTAAAATATTAGTTGAACGTCCTGTATTCACCAAAACGGCTGGCTCTTTGGGACTGGCTGATACCTAAAGAGCAGACTAATGTTAGCATTCTATGTTTTAAAAGGAGGGGGCAGAATCTAAGACATACTTCTTTTTATTTAAAATGTGTACCTTAACAGTTATCATTTAATAACCCAAATTAAGGTCAATACAAATATTCCCAAAATACTACAACCCCAAGAAACACAGCATCTGCCAAAACCATAAGTCTTGGAAGTACAAAATAGGAATCTTAGCTCAAGTGTGATTAGTGCTGTTTTCCCATTCATTTTCCTCCCACCATCACCTACATTAGTCATTACTGTTTTCAGATCTGCAAGGGGGATGGGGACCATATGGAAAGATTCTTTTCTATGGAGATGTCCTTCTTCTTTATAGAGAGGCGTATTTCCAAATGACTAGATGGTCTCTGTTCCTTTAAAGATTTAGTCTTGGAAACCAGATAGGGAAGTTCTCCTCTGTCCCACAGGATCATATGACTCTATAGCAGTGTTTTGTTTTGTTCAGGGTATTTTGGGGGCGGAGAGAATTTGCAGGGGATTTTTTTTTTGGTTGTTACGAAGATGTCTTTAAATAACAGAAGGTATTAGTGGAAAGTTTACCTTGAAGGGGTTTGCTCTTCCTTGGTTGCTCGAGATAACGGCACCTTTCACAAGCAGGAAGAATAAAAAGAGAGAGAAGTCTGACCTCTAAAACAGTAACAGAATATTATAATATGTACTAGAAGAAGATAAATTCTTCTCAGCTTTAAAATTCATAGATGACCTTCTTCCTATCAAGGTGACAACTTCCTTTGTGTTTCCGAAACAAAATAAAAGTTATTACATAAGAACTATCCCAATTTGCCACTAATAAAGCACATAAACCCAGTATTTGTAGATCTGTCTTTCCTCTTGCTACTGTGGAATGGTTTGTTGTTGTTAAACATGCCACCAAATTGGAACCGACTCATAGCTGACCCTTTGGTGGGTTTTTAGAGGCAGTAAACTGCATAGGAGGAGATTGTTCATGTTTCTCTCAGAGGCTTGGTGGATGTGAACACCTGTTTTTGGGTTGGCAGCACAACTCTACCTAGTAGGCCAGCAGAGCTCCCTGGAGAATGGTTTGGTGAAGGTGAATCTCTCTATTTGTACCCTAGATCCTAACTCCTCATGCTTTCTCAAGCAATTGAGTTATTAACAATTTCTCCTTCCCTTCATGATTGGCTCAAGACTCTTAGCTTTAAAAGAAATAACAAATAAAAGACAAATTTTCTCCAAATCACATACCCTCCAGGAATCATACTTTCTTTGCTCCCCATCATACAGTTAACGCCTTAGTTGACTATATACCCACCTAGTCCGTTTCCCATTTCCTCACTGTTCATGAGCCTCCCCACCTCAAGAATCTGCTCTCCTTGTTGTTGTTATGTGCCGTCGAGCCGCCTGAGACTCATAGCGACCCTATGTACAACAGCCCTAAACTCCGCTCTGTCCTGTGCCAAT